AAAAGAAGCAAACAAAAAACAGTGCCCCAAACCCACCCTAGAGACTCCATCTTAATTATTTTGGTGTGGAACCTGGCAACAGTAATTTTAGGATGTTCTTCAAGTGATTCTGGCATCACTGCCCAAAATAAACTATGGGGAGCCATTAAGGTGTTACCTAAGTCTTATATTCTCAGAACCAATTTATCAACGATAAGATGAGAAAGCACATTAACTCATTTGCATGAGTTCCATACAGCAATGACAGTGATCAGAAATGTTACATAGAACCACCTAAAATTAAAGACCCAGTCAAGAAATGTGCTAGAGAAATGAATAGATACTTCAGAGAAGAAGAAACACAAATGGCCAACAAATTTAAGAAAAAAGGTTCAATATCTCTAGACATTGAGAAATGCAAATTAAAACAACACTAAGATTCCATCTTATTCTTGGAAGAGTGACAATCACTAGGAAATCAACAAATGCTAGAGTGGATGTAGTGAAAAAGCAACTCTGAGATTGTTGGTGGGAATGGAAACTAGTACAACCATTATGGAAATCAGCATCAAGACTTCTCAAAGAATTGAAATTAGAGATTCCTTACATCCCACCTATCCTCTTGCTAGATACCTTCCCTCTTAAATAGCTAAATTATCACATACAGTGTTACTTGCACACCAATGTTTAGAACAACACAATTTGTAGTAGCTAAATACTGGAAGCAGCCTGTATATTCATTAACATGACTGGATAAACAAAAGATTTTATATATATAATGAAATACTACTCAGCTATAAAGAATGAAACACTTGAGGCATTGATAGGAAAATGGATGTGCTTGGAGAACATAATGTTTAGTGAAATAAATCAGACAAGCATGAATATTGTATGCTATTTCTCATCTCTCTTTCTCTTTTGTTTTTTAACTTTCTTTCCATACCAGGGATCGAACTCACGACTCCCTGCTTGCAAGGCAGGTGCTTATGCTGCTGAGCTAAATCCCCAGCCCAGCTATTTCTCATTTGAGTGAGGAAAAGTACAATGACAGAAAATGATGAAAGATGAGTAAAAAGGCACAAGGGGACTAATTTTGTTCAATAACAAAATAAACCAAGGGAAAAAGGAGAGGAGGGAAGGCAAAGGAGGAGGGGAATAGGAAATAAGAAGGAACCTAATAACCCCAATCAATGTAAATGTTATTAAGCCATAACACATGTTAAGATAAACAGTATCAGCAGGTATGAACAAGGTGGGTGGGATTCAGAGGAGGAGGGAGGAGGGGTAGAGAAGGGGAAGGGTATCAAACAAAACAAAACAAAACAAAACAAAACAAAGCAAACTGTAACATGTTTGTGTAATCAACCCCCAAGATGGTTGTATACTATGTGAATTACAAACATGTACTAATTTTAAAAATGGTACACAGAGAAAACAGGAATATAAACTGAGCTGGAGGCTAGAAGAAGTAGGACAAATGTCTGATTCAGTAGTGGAGCAGAATATTAGGTATGAGCAAGCTGTATGACTGGACTCATTGCTGGCTTGATCCAGTGGGTTTTCCTTTTTCCTTGCTACCACAGAATCTCTCGCATACCATCTGGGAGACATGAGCATTGTCACTCCGGGAGGTGTAGGAGGTTCTAGATGGAAAAATGAGAAGACCTCTTTTACCTTTTGTTTTCCTCCTCCTTAATGCCTCAGAATGCCAAGGTATGGATCCCTCACCTAGCAGGGAAATAAATAGTTGCAAAAAAGAGCCCTCGAATCATTTGAGCACAAGGAAAGCAGGGAAGAGCTGAGGATTCTGGAGAGAAAAGTAGGGAGAGGAACAAGAGAAGGAGGCCCAAGGAGGGAGAAAGATTAACAGAGAACGGCTGTAGAATGTGGCCACCTGGGCAGCGCAAACTGGTGAGAGAAACAGGAGGAACCTGATGGAACAGAGCTGTCCCTGGAGTCCCCAGGTAAAATGCAGTCACACCCGAGAAAAAGGATGTGTGACACTCTCTCGGGCTGCCAGTGTGAGCATTGGCTCACAGAGAATTTGTGATAAGAGGTATAAACACTACCTCATGCAATCAGGGTTTAGAGCTGGGGTCTATATGAACATTATAACTTCAGGTAAACCTTCTTTAAACTATAGGGGCTCTCGAATACCATGTGTGGATTTAAGGGAATGAGATGGTCTGAGATCTGTTTATGCCCAGAACTCGCAAACTGTCAGTTATCTGAGCCTTGAACATGTTTTGTTGTCCTATGCATTTAAAAATTATTGAAACTTTTGGTACTTAAAAACAAAGGACAAAGGCTTAGTAATAAATACTGTATAATTTGTAAACACCAAGCTTTTATCTTATGTAAGGCATAAATCTGGAGCTGGCCCCTTCCTTTGCTTTCTCCCTTTACTGATTCACAATAGTTTGTCAAGCACCTGCTTTTACTTTCTTAAGTCCAAGATGAGTAATTTAATTGTTCCCCCACATATTTGTGTGCCCAGGTTCTCCTTGCATTAGATTTGGCCAAAGGCTGAAAGAAGATCTGAGTCTTGGATTGCATCTGACATTGTCTTGACTCATTTTGTTTTTTGAATATCATTAGTTTGGTTGTCCATCAGAGCTGTCAAATAATTTGTCTTCAGATGAGCCCTTCTTCTGAATTTCATTCAGAAGCTGGAGCACCAGGTGGCTGTGCACATTAATAAGCCATGGTGTCTCAGATCAGCTCTTTTTCCCCTCTGCGCTGAGCTGCAGGGTCAAGACTCCTCAACTATTCTGCCTTGTCTGCTGCTTCCTGTTAGGCTCTACCAAATGTGAGCACCAGGGGGAGATGGGAGACAGGACAGCAGAGGGCCCACTCCATCCACTTTACTTTGTGGTTCTGCCGGCATTGCCACAGAATGATGAGCCCTTTCCCTGGAAGCAGAGTTGGGGGTTTTCAAAATCTGTTCCACACTCACTGGAACCTCTGATGGCGTCCTGAACAGGTATGGTGCCAGTTTCTCAAGCTGAGACCCAGTGCTCCAGAGCCTCTCTGAAAACTCCTAGGTTCTGGTAAACACAGCTCTTTGCTCCCCAGGTCCCAGGGAAGGTAGCTGCCTTCCAAAGCCACCATCTTTGAGTTATCTCTTCTGTCCTCAGATCCCTTTTAGTCATTGCCTGGTAATTCAGGCTTGAGCTTGAGCCAGAATCTCAAAAGGGCGTGTTAAAATGTGCTGGACCCCAGAGTTTCTCATTCAGTCAATCTGGCCTACGGCCTCAGAAATTTGTTTGGTTACCAGATTTCCAGATAGTGCAAATACTGCTCATCCGAAGATCCCAATCTGGAGTGCCACTCCCTATAATATATTCCTCTGTTGAAACAGAGTATAGTTTTCTAGCTGGACCCTGGCAGAGACAATGCTCATCACTAAAACAGTACATCTCCTTGACCCACTGGTTAGATTTTAGAAGTTTGGTGGGAGGAAGTAATCTTAATACTGTCTAACATGGTCCTGCACTCAAGATCGAGTTACTCTCTAGGTTTGTCAGTCCATAACCTGTATCTGTACCTTTTCTTCCCTGCAGAGCCCTGGGTCTTCCTTTCCCACATTCCATCCTATTTCACTCCAACCCATGTCCTACTGTGCACTCTATGGTTTGGCTCTGCTAATTTCATTTGAGTGCTGACTTTTCTAACCTGTACTGTATAGGTGACCACAGCAACATGTTTTTTCTGGGATTACTGTTCCAAGTCAACAAACACCTATTGAATTGTTGAGCTTCATATGTGTTTGGCCAGATATACGAAGATGAAGCCTTATACAGTCTTCATAGGGTAGTAATGACCATCTGTATAACTGAAAGCTGTATTATATGCTTGTGAAAGATGTAAAAAAAATCCCAACCGAATTCCTACTGGAAAGAGATCAGTTTTGGTCGGTTAAATAATTGTGTTAGCAAGATGTGGATGGGGTAAGATCCTCAGAAGTGCATGCAAGTGACAGGAAGGGGGTGTGTTGTCTTTTAAAATGAGTTAGCCCCTGCTAGCCGCAAAGCTTTATTTTCTAGAGGGGGACTTATGCAAGTTCATGGCTGGAGTAGTAGTGTATGGGAGAAGGCAGTGCTGAGAGGAAGAAGGGGCTTCATGCCTGACTCTGGGTGACTGGCAGTCAAAGGGCAACTTTAAGGCTGAAAGGAACACTGAGAAAGAATTTTCATTAGAATGTTTGCTGGTGTGAGACGCAATCTACATCACTCTGTGAAATCATCAATAAACTACTTGCTCCTCATGGTGTGACTAAATATTGAGTCATTTTGCAAGTTTAGAATCAGAGACCTCCCATAGAAGGATAGCCATACATAAATTACGTATCTACTTTTCATTCTTTATCTTTCTTCTTCTCCTTCTTGCAAATACATTGGAAGCACCCCATAGCACTGACTGGATTTTAGATTCTTTCCCATCAGCCCTGGTTATGGAGTAGCATGTGTTTATCAATGAGCTAATTGCTAGATTTAGAGTTTATTCTTGCCTGTTGCACCTTAATTATGCTACACAGAGTATCCACAGGCCTGAATATGGCAGATATATGGGTGTAATAGTGACCTTTTGTGGGTTTTTTTGAGGTCATTTATTTATTTTTCTAATTATAAATAAAATTGTAAGACTGAATATTTGGAAATATTGATAACTATGAGCAAAAATAAAAATTACTCATGGTTTTACTGGTCAGAGATAAACACAGCCAACAAACTTTCTTTCTCCATATATATATATTTATAGATAATAAAGACTATATATAAAATGTATGTATCATGTGTTATACTCTATTTATATATAGCTGAGTTCATAATAATTATAAAAACCTTTGATATCTTGATACAAGCATTCGTCTTCTTTATCACATCTGCAAAGCTATTATCTCTTCACTTTTCTACCATATATAATGATACAGTGAACAACCATGTATATGTAGTACAAATTTATATTAAGCAGACCATCTTTTGACACACTTATGTTCAGAGGTAGAATTCTGTACTTACCTGAAATGAAACTCAAAAGATACAACCCTAGTGGACCGTGCAGCGTTTCGAAGGGTTTGCCAAAAGCGTTGTACATGAAGAAGGCTGTTCCCACCATGGTCAGAACGATGAGGATCGTGGAGAAGAGAATGACATTAACATGGATGCTCACTGGAATTGCTTTAAGCAAATCTGGGAAAACTGAAGATAAACCAAGGATTAGAAGAATTTCATTATCAGTAGTCTGCAAGTATAATTTTAAAAATTAAATCCCCTTTCTTTTTTTTTTCATTTCAAAAATCACTCAAATCCTTTTGATGAATACATTCTCACTTAGTAATTTACATAGAGTTTGCGAAAAGATTTAAAGCATGGGATCATTTTATGGAATCATCAGTAAAAACTGACAAAGAGGAGATTTGAGAGAATTTTTTCTGCCCTTAATCATATGCAATTGCTCAAATAAGTGCTAGCTTCATAACTCAAAATTGTACATTTTAATGGCAAAACTTAATGACATTTCTCACCAATCACCTTTTTAAAATTTATCTATAAATTTAGAGATATCTGAGGGGCTTTTAGTAGAAAGTTTTTATATTTCATTTGTTAGAAAACATGGTTTCTAGCCCACACCAAAATTAAAGAATGGGACATTTTTAGTCAATTTCAATATTTTGATATAGCAAAAAGCTATGGGAAAATAATTTCTGGTGCTATAGAAATATTTTCCATTTAGAAAACATGCCAAATCTATTTCTAGATTTTGTGTTCAGGGAAACTTTTTCTTGTCTGCAGAGGAAATACTTTATAAATGTAAGGTTTCTCTTATCTGGTAAGGCATCAACATGCTTGCTGTCAACAAAACAGGCAGGGCCAATTTCAGGAAGTTTAGTTCAGTCCGTTTTAGTTTTACAAACATGTATCAAGAGCTGAGTTTATTTATTGAGTACCTACCAGGCACCAGACCTTGTTCTAGTTGACAGATACAGGTTATAAAACAAGACAAGAAAGATTCCTGTTCTCTCAGAGAAATTATAATCTAATGAGAAGAGACAGTTGGCAAGTAAACAAATGTGATTGCTTATCTCTGAAGATGGTCATTATCAATGACTTTCCCATTTTAAACACATATCATTTCCGGTTGTAAGGTAGACTGTTTCCTCAGTTCCCTCCAGTGTCACTAGGTCTTTGACTTCCTGACCTTTATGTGCACTACATTTTCGTTGTCATGTCATAATAGGAGAAATGCATTGTTGAGAAATGCACATTAAAACTATGAAATACTACTTTTCACAACTATGTTAAAAAAGATCAAACCGAATATCTTGTGTCAGGTGAGGTGTAGGAAAAGGGAATCCTGGTAACTTTTCTTGGAATGGAAATTGGTACAACTTCCTTCCGGTAGCTGAGCGTTATCTACAAAGCAGTAAGATGTACATACTCTTTAATTCAGGAGTCTCCCTTCTGGGAGTCTACCCTTTGGACATTTTTGCATATGAATCCAATGAAGTGCTACAAAGATATTCATCTCAGCATTTTTGGTAATAACAAAAGTTTGGAAATCTATATGTCTAGCAATAGTAAATCCACACAATGGAATTTTAGTCAGTGATTACAAAGAATGAAGCAAATCTGTAAAAGCAAATAAATGATCAAAATGTAATGTTAAATCAAAATGTTAAATGAGAAAACAAGCCAAATAAAGAGATCATTCTGCAATTTGGGGAAAAGCAAAGGAATTAATAACAATTAAGAATTTTGTCTGATTTAACTCTCTCAATAATCCAATCAGATACGTACTCTATAAAAAATGAAACAGAGACTATCTACTATCCCAAGATTTACACTAAAAAAGTAGCAGAACAGGGATTAGATCTCATATCCTCATTCTCACCACCTTGTTTCGGCAGCCTCAGGGAGTAGTGTTATGGTTAAAGACTGGTGGTCAGCTTAGCATAGCTGAATTAAATCAGCATGGTACTGAGTATAGACTGAGGAAATCTGCCACATAGAGATGTGGAGAAGAGTGAGGTATTGTGGGTTCTCCTAAGTGTTGCTGTTTCAAGCCGTTGGTTCTCCTGGAAAAGCTTGTCATATTGGCTTCTCCAATATGAATTAGGCCATTATCATCAGAGGAGCTCAGGACCTTGTTGCTGAGAGTGGCCGTGGTTCACTTTGGGGGAGCTCTGGTCCTTATGTTGAGCATCACTTCCTGGTCCTGAGGAGAAGATGTATGCTGTTTAATTTCCAGGAGAAACTTGTCATGCAGGCTTCCTGGCATGTAGTCGACTATTCTTATTGTTGGAGGAGCTCAGGACTTCATTGTTGTTGAGGATGGCTGTGGTATTTTTCAGGGCAGCCCTGGTCCTTATTTTGAGCATGACTTTTCAGTTATAGTGTAGAATTCTCAACCTACTGGCACAGATCCTTTACCCTGCTGGTATAGACTTTCTGGCTTCTACCACTGACCTTCGGCTCTTCCCAGTGCAAATCTGTAAAATAGACTGGCGTGAGTCCCTGTTGTGGACTCTAGACCTCCAGCTAGACATGTGGGAGGTATTTTCATGAACTCTAGGTCTTCATCTGGACTTATGCAGGACATTGCTGTGGCATTCCAGGCCCTTGACTGATTACTCTGGGTCTTTAGTGTTGTGGATAGATTTCCTGCACTTTCTTGTATTAACTCTGGGTGACTATCATAAATAATATGATAAATTCTGTGTCCTGTATATAATTGTTATCCTCACAACCCCTGACTACAAGTAGCATGTTGAGTCAAGGCCAAGACTGGTTACAGATGAAGCAGATAATATTGCTTGTGAGGAAAGAGACTGAGGAACATTTCACTATGTACCTTTTTCATATTGTTTGGGAAATAAAATATTCTATCTTGATACAAGCACAAATAATTATTTTTTAATAACTAAAGGATAAATAAAGATATAACAAATTTCTGTGACTATTGTGGATTAAAAGAAACTTGAGGAACATATTAAAGAACTATGGCTATGAATTGTGACTCGAACGAATCATATATATAAAAAGACAATTTTGAGAAAAACCAGGAAAAACCAAACATGAGCTGGATATTAGATAATATTTTGTAACTATTATTGATTTTGTTGATTAGGTTCATGGTATTGTGGTTGTGTTTTTAAAATCTTATCTGTTGGAAATTAGGTGGATGAATTTAAGAAAATTCCTCAGCTCTGAACAGATGGAATAGGGCTCTGTGTAAGCTGATATTCACAGATACTAAGCCCCTGTTGCCCTGTTGGCAGGGATTGCGGTGGTCTGCTTTGTCCCGTCTTCCTGGGGTATAGCAGTCTTGTACTTCTGCACATGTAGCTGGTATTATGCTACCATAACCTGCCCTGTAGAGTTCCCCATTGCTAAGAAGGTTCAACCAACCCAGACCACTATTCTCACATTTGGTGTTCACATTTATCCAGTTATTTACTTGGTTTTCAGCAGCAGTTACACAAACCTGCTTGTATTCATATTCCTACTGTAAAAAACCATCATCTCCCCAACTCCAGGGAAGTTAGGTTAAAACCTTTTGCAAAGTTAAAATTGCCACTGAATTGAAACAAATGCAGACAGAAGTTGCACTGATTAGCCTCCTGGAAAGAAAAGCCAAGAGCAAAAATAAATTGTCATGTGGAGTATTTTAATTCTTATGAAAGCTTTTAAAATTCCCACTCTTGTGAGAAAGTCACCCCGAAGGGCACTAAGCCCTGCGTGTTATATTTTGTCAGTGTTGTTGTTCTTTTTTAATCAAAAATCCCCGAGCCTGTAAGGATCTGCCAGAATGCTGGTACAAGTTCTCAGCCTTCTGACCAACACTAATGGGACTTGGCTTGGAGCGGAGGGCAGACCATTCAAATAAATATTGAAAGTGTCCCTTTAATGATCCTGGACATTGTGTGCCCAGGAGATAGATTGGTTTCATCTTTCTGTTCTTTTAGGTGTTGGTATTACAACACAGATAAAGGATTTGAACATTTTGATTGATGGAGCTACTGTCACTTTTAGCCTCCAGAAATTGCTTAATTAGCTGTTGACAAGTGAAAGGAAGATATTTACCTAAACAGACAGTTGATGCCACCTTAGTAGAATACCATTAGTCTGTGTGTTCACAATTACTGTACTTGTCCTCTCTTACTTTATCACTGATTTCCTCCTGAGTCAATGTATTGAGATCTTTGCATTCTTAAACCTCCACAAGCCTCTAGTGGCCTCTCTCTATTTTATCATGAAACATCATCAAAGCGCAATATGCAAAGAATAAGAATGGAATGACAACCAATAATTACATAGCACTTGTTATGTTCAAAGTACTTTATATATATTGCATAAATGAATAGAACACATTCAATTATTACTACACCTTGAAGGGAAGTATTTTATTTTTGATGTCTAGGGTTTTGAAAAACCAAGGCACAGAGAAGTTAAGTGGCTTGCCTAAAGTCACACAATGGTGTTGATGGCTTTGTTTTTAATCCTACCCCCTCATTTTTAGGATTAAAGTAAAATTGGCACAGCCAAATATTTGCCCCCTTTGGTTTTGCAAATTTTGACAAATGGTAAATGCATACAATTGTGTAACCACCATAGTGAAGATACAAAACAATTTTACCACTTCGACCCCCATCCTATATCTGGTCCCTGTCCCCAGCTCCTGTGTGTACTTCTTTATAAGAATATGGCAACCACTTCCCACAGTGGAGGAACCATTTCCCCTGCCCCTCAATGATTTAAATCCCAGCTGTCCCATATCCTTGTCAGCACTTGCCATGCTTTAAAACATTGTCACCACTTAATAGGCATGTAGCTTATTTTGCTGTAGTTTTAATTTCATTTTTTAAATGACTAATGAGGTTAAACATCTTTTTGTGAGTTTAGTTGCATTACATTTATCATTTTTGGCAATCCTTGTTCATATCTTTTGTGCAATTTTATTGGGTTGTTTATTACTACTGAGCGTTGAGAAATCTTTATGCATGCTGGATATAAACCCTTTATCAGATAAGAGATTCACAGATATTTTCCCCAAGTCTGTGACATGCCTTTCCATTCTCTTTTGAAGAGTAGTTATTATTTTTATGAAGTCTAGACTATCAATTTTTTCTTTTATGTGTCGTGTTTTAGATGTCAAATCTAAAAAGTCTAAAGCAAGGTTGCAAGTATCTTCTGTGTTT